AAATATGGTAATTCGAAAATTACTACGTAGAATGGTTCGACTGTCATTAAATGATATTTATAATTACATAATTATATCACTGCTGAATATACTAGCTATGAGATTGACAAACTTAATGAGATGAACTTAATATATCTGAATAAAATCATAGCTTTAAATATTTGATTGACCATAATATTATCAGTCAAAAAAATGACGTAATTAATACCGAATATAAACAATTCTTTTTTTTTGGAATTTCTTTACATTCCTCCAATTCAAAATGTTTTCTAAATGCCTGTTCCTCTTAATGTAGTTTCAGTATTTCTCTCTCTCACTCATCATATATGTATTACTTCAATCATTTTTGAGTATTTCCCTTGTTCGTTCACAATCTACGGATAGTTATCTTTTTTTAAATTAAATAATAATCTTTATTATTTCTATATCACAACAATCGACCAGCAACAAATAGTATGTCTGATCATGTCTTAACAATGACAATAGCAGTGGAAAACATTGAACTATACTAGACTTCATGTTGATGATGAAGAGATCAAAAGAGTACATCTCTAAAAAGTCGAATTAACAAAGTTAAAGTTTAAGGTATGCTTGTTTTGGCTTTAAATTAAAATTCAAAGATTAAAGGTGAGATACGCTACTTTAAATTGAATAATTTCATCATAGTAGTTTCAAAATATAGTATTATCAGTAGTATCGTTCCAAAAAACCTTGGACCCGACGGGCTCTACGAAACACTAACACCACAGTTTATTATAGATCATCCGGTAAAGGTGGATCTTCGTTTCCATTCAGAAATATTGAGTCCGTTTTTTAAACTATGGCTCAGCTAAAATATATTCAATTCTGTTCTAATTAAATTCTCTCTTAAGAGTAAAATGACTAGCTGCACAAAATTGGAACTACCATTGTCGGTGATGATGCTACTTCTCTTACCTTTATTTAACGATCCATTTGTTTCTTCTAACAGCACATGCCAACGTGGTTCTTCATAAAAAGCCAGGTGATGCAAACTTTCATTTTCATACAACGATTGTAGTTTTGCTTTATCATCTTTTTTTACTGTGCAATTATAAAACTCTAAATATGTGAATGTATTACGTTTTTCTCCAGCATGAAGAAGTGCTTTTGTGAATTCAGACGAGATAACTGATGACGATATACAAAGACGCGAAATAAATTCATCGTGTTGCAATGATTGAATTAGACAAGCTTCTTTTTGATTCGATGGTTGCACATCTTCAATGTGCAAATTGAGATATTTAATTGATTTATGCTCTTTCAATATACTCAAGAGATTATTGATGAAAATTTCGTCTTTAAAACCAGTATAATCCATTAGATCCAGTCCAACAAGTGTTTTAGTTTTCCTCAGCATTTCACAGAAATAAGATAACGTTGAGGACTCATACAATGAATGCGTAAGTTTCAGTTGTTGTAACGCATTTGTCTTCCAATTAAATATACTATTCAGAATATTGATACTGTTGGTATGCTCCACAAACAGTCCGGTTAGAATTGCATTAGCTTGAAGATGTCGCCGAAGATCCGATTCTCGACAAATAAAGTCACTTGCAGAGAAATCTAAGCTTCGATATATTTTGTTTTGTAGCAAAAGTCGACCGAGTATCTGCACATTTGCTTCTTGGTTATTGTTGCAGA